GGTCGTTTGGTCGCAAAAGAATTGGCTCCATTGGAGCTATTGGAGCGATCGGTGAACTATTTTCGGGACTGGGTGTATTATTACTTGAAGTATTATTTTTGTTTGTGTCAACCTGCGGAAAATCTCTGGACAACGTATTCCCGAAGCTTGTACCAGAGCTATGCCCATTCTCCTTTTTATCCAGATCATTTGAGTCAATGCTCCTAAGTGGGCCCGACGACGCACGCCTTTTGGAAGTCGAGTTACCCATTGTCCTCTAACAGTTACTTTCAATTACGTTTCAAGTTAAAATAACAGTAATAATTACTATATTAGTTGTGTGCAGTTCGTTTCTTTGCTTCAAAGATCCTTTGATAAAAAAACTACAGTTGTAGATTGCAAGTATCGCAGAACCTGTGCAGGAATGCACAGAAACTTGAATGTTACGATTATGAATTAATCTCCGAAAGTTAGCACATCGTTCGAAAGAAAGGGTGCTTATTTTCGAATCATTACAATAAAAAAAAACACGTCAAAATGTTTAAATAATAAGCTTAATTGATATTACATAAAATATTAGTCTAATTTTTTTTTTATTTGTAAAGGATAACTAAATAGATAATGATTTTATATATTATTGTATTAATATGCTTTTTTAAATGACTTCCATAAGAGATAGGAGACTTTAAATTAATGGACCTTTAGAATGAATGACTCGCAGTTTATCAAAATACAGCTATTTTTTTGGTTTTGGTTATTTTATATATATATATATATAATACATTGTTATATAATCTATAGATGTGAATTTTGAATTTTATGTATGGATTTATATCTAAAGAAGATCGTTTCTTCAATTTCATATGATTGGATCACGTCCGCCTATTACTAGTACGGGTATCATTGTCCAATCGGTATTTCCTTAAATCTTTAGTGTGATCTGGCATGGGAGATCCCCATCCTGGTAGACGCACCACCTGATTTTTGATAAACATCATCGCTTTAGTCCACAGCAGTGAGATAAAATGTAATATTCGAAATATAAATTATCAATACCATGGCAGTCATGTTGTCCTCCGATCCGAGCTCATCTGCAAGATCCACAAGTTTTGATGCACCTAAAGTGGGATCATCGTAATTTTTTATCTTTGAAAAAAGAAGCAGCCATCAGTGAAGATAATAACTTGAACACTTGAATCCGTGGAACAAAGAACTTACGCAGTCAACTATTTCTTGGTTGCTTAATACCGAAGTCACTCCGTCCG